TGTTTGCTCTATCAGAAAATACAATTTGTTTATTTATAATAATCCAATTGACTCGTTTATTTCTTTTTTTTCAAGTTTCAACACAACAACATCAATTTTTTTGGCATATTACATCAAATTGTATTTATGTAATTTGATTGTTTCTAACCAATTTAATCTGTTCAATTCCATTTCTACTGTTTCCAATTCTTTAAAATATTCAAGTGAATTGTCAACTGTTTGTACATCCAATATTTTGAGCTCAAGTTCCATATCCTCTTTTTCAACTTTTCAAGTTCCAATTCCATTTAACCGCATCGATATTTTAACTGCTTTATGACACTCCTTAAAACTTTTTCACTGTCTTCCTCTTCTTTGTCTTTATTTTTTAGTTGTGTTCTTTCAAGTGACTTGCTTTTTCATTGATGTCAATTCTTCTTTTTTGTACCAATCTTTATCTCGTGTTGCCATTTTCATGGCCATTCTTTTTGTTTTAAACAATTCACGTTTAAATAAAGGGTATGCCCCCCTTATAATTCAGGCATATTTTATCGCGCTTGTTACATTGCAATCAGTATAACTGTGATGAAAACAAGATTCTTTAACCATACCGAACATTTCATTCAAACACTTGCCGTTTATCAACCTACAAACGTCAAACCTGGCATAAAAACTAGACACCAACCTGTTTATTGTGTCAATTGAAATATCTTCCCAAGCCTTTACAATTGCATCATAAAAGACGTCCAAATTTTCTGTTTCAACTCCTTGCATTTTTCCTTGAGAATAGACCTAAAAATAAATACAGCATATTAGTCAATAAAATAACAAATCAACACATCTCAATTGGATTGATATCGAAACTATTTGATGGCCAAAACTTAAGTATGTCAATATGGTTTTCCAAAGTACTATAGACAACATTTGAAGTGTGGCAAATTGCCCCATTTTGCATGATAATAGTTCTTGTTACCAACTTTTTAATAAGACCACAATAGCCACATCTTTTCATCACCATTAAATATTCATTCGAACCAACAGAGTGTGGGCATCGGACAATGTAAAATTTATACCCATAAATGATTGCTCCAAATAACATCATACACATTGGATATTTTGTTTTTTTATAATATCTCAATTCATTTATCTTATTCTTTTAATTTTCAAATCCCCACACTCCTTTTATTGATTCCGACTTTTTTATTGTGGTCTCATTAGAAAAAACAAAAGAATATTCACAATAAGTGGTGAGTATAAAATTTGCAAAACCAATATATTTTCATGTGTTTATCTGTCATATTTAATATCACAATTGGAGGAAAATATTTTATGTGTCGTTTGTGTAATATTTCTCTTAATGTTGTTTCTGATACCTTGTCGACGATGCCTTAGTCAATCAACATTTTTTAGTTTTACTAAGTGTTTGTGTGGGATTTATTTCAGTCAAGTCAACAATAGACTTGCTAAGATTGGTTTTTATATTTACATTTTCTTCCCCTTTTACTGTTAGTAAAATTGTTACTGTTTTTGAATTTGGTAATTATTGTGCTTACAGTACTCTGTGACATTTTCAGTGATTGTGTTATTTCTTTTTCTTTTTTTTCCTTGAAGATAGAGAATAATTATTTCCGATTTTGTTTCATTTGATATCACTTTTCGTTGTTGTTTTCGAGCTGTGTTTTAAAGGTATTAAATTAATGTCACAGCTTTGCGGGAAACTTAATTTTTGTTGGCCTCTTTTCGTTTTGGGATCCATGATTATTCAGTTATTAGTTCGGTTTTGTTATTTTTAGCACACCTTTTTAAAAAAGAACAAAAAAATAAAATACAAACATTTTTTTTAAAAATTACTTTATTTTTATTATAAATTATAATACTGTTAATATAAATACTAGTAAAAATATCTTTAAATAGAAATCGGATTTTATTATCAAAAAGCAATAAATTTGTTTTTTTTGAAAATAATATCAAATTGCTGCTCTGTAAATAATAAATAACTTTTTGTTTGTTTGTGGATAAATTCTATTGTTTTTATATTCGACTTTACACAAAGAAAATTATTTAAATTGTTGTTAACAACAAAAATAAACGTATACATTGTTAAATGTAAGGTTTAAAAAAAATAAATGAATTTTTTTTGAATTGTATGGAAAATAACCAAAAAAATAAAAAAAAGACAATTATAATATATTACAGTTGGGCCATTAAACTTTAGCCCAGGAAATTAACCTTGGCCCAAAGAAAAACTAATTATTTTCTATTGTTATATAAAAATAATAAACTATACCCAAATAAAAGTCAATTTTATAAAATATTTGTTTTTTAGTAAAAACCCGTGTTTTTAAAGAAAAATATAGGAATTTCTATGGGATAAAGAACATTTACTGGGCTAAGGTTTATTTTTCCCTTATGTAAATAACAAATAAAAATAAAAATTAGACACCAGTTCCGACTGATTTTTTTATTGTGTGTACAGATACATGAAAAACCTAAGAACAAATCATAAACCAGGGACCAAACCAAATTAAGTTGTTTTATTTCTGGTATAAAGCATGGTTTGCCATTTTTTAGAGAAGGCCCAAAACTTTTTAGGCTTTTTTCCCTTAATAGTTTATCCTAATATGTGGTGTTGAGTCAGGGACAAAATATAAATAAATCAGAATCTTTTTTTAGAAATAGGGTTTTGAAAAAGTCTTATTTTGTATTTGCTCTTTTCAGCCGTAAGTTGCGGGTAAAAAAACACGAAACATCCCGAACATTCACAATAAAAGTACTTATAATCAAAAGGTTATTATTTACTTATAATTGGTTCAATTAGCCTATTGTTTGGGGGTCAAAAAGAAAAAAAGATGAGAAAATGAATAATATATATATATAACAGACAAATGAATAGCTACATTTCGGGTATTTCAAATATTTACCCAAAAGTGTAGTAAATTTGCCTCAAAAAACTTTGAAATAATGACAAATTAAACTGAAAAGAAACGCAATTTGACCAATCAAATGACTAGTAACAATAACATTAACATACAACAATTAAATAAGAATTAACACTAACCTTCAATGATAAAAAATATTAAATGATATATATTATCATTATATTAGTGTTATTTATAATAATAATAATAAAAAGAAAAAGCAATTCAGAGAATTAATGTTTTACTTTAAGTGAATTCATGTATTAAGCTCGTAAACTCTTCGAAAAACTTGCCTAATTATCCATTGGGCATTTGTTTGAGCCAGACACCTTAATGCAAAGGCTATATATCGATAATTTGTGTTTTTTTACCGTTTTAGGTTGGTTCGAACATTCACAGCTGACTTGATTTCCCATCGGACCCAAAGATGTCTTTGTCGTTTATATCATGTTATTTCAAATGTTCAAAAAGCATCACATCAAATGAGAAATTGTTATAACGACTCTCGCACCTTAGTTCGACTATTCTGGGAAGGTGCGAACCAACACACCATTTTTATATACGAATGTGCCAGCAATACATTCACATTTATTGTACTGCCAACGGTTGTTATCTTAGCTTTACTCCTTTGCATTTTAATCAAGTGAAAACACGAAGAAGTTGTCTGGCCTAATGTCTGCGTATAAATATTTCTTCACTTCAATTCGACACACTTTCTTTATCACTAAATGTAGACTATCACAATTAATCATTTTGTCAGGTTCAATCTAATATAAAACATAATAATCAATTCTTGTTGTTATTCTGATTTCATTCTAATCGAATTAATTTGTTATTTCTTTCTTCGTTTTCAAAAACAACACAAACCATTTCATTACGAAAGCCGATATTTACTGTTATTAACTCCTCAAATTATCATAAAATATTTCACATAACAAGAGTGCATTATGTTCTGTTCATGTTTTCCTCCATCTTTCTTCACATCTAACCAAGTCTTTATTTGATGTTTTGTAGTTTTTTACCCTGCTCAAATACTCTCTTATTATTTTTCTTGGGGTTTTTGTTTAATTCAACCTTTCCCATAATTTCAAGAAATTCCAAATTAACTATTTTTTACTCGTTTTAAAACAATTTAATATATAAAATGTTTTCTGTCAAAACAATAAAGATTTATTTGTAACCTGGTTTTGTTTTTTGTCAAATCGAATTAGTTTTATTTTGCCATAATTTAAAGTAAACATATATTAATGATTAGGGATTTACAAATTTGATTGCCATTTTTCACTTTTAAACCATGTAAAATGGCAATTTTTATTTGTTTTATTATCTGTTCTGCTCTTTTGAAATCATATCAACATTAATATGTTGTATAACAAAACATGTATTTTATTTATAATTAATATTTTTAAGTGTAAAAAACATCAATAGAATATAAGTAACCAAAAACACACAAATCAAAAATCACACTTCTTTATGATATCGTTAACATCATACATTTGACTAATTGTTTCTGACTTCATATTAGCCTTTGCTATATGCTTCAAACGTGAAAATGAACGTTCGACTATCGAAGAAGTCACATTTACTGCCTCTACACGTTTGGAAAGATCCATTATATGTGGGAAATAAGATCTTTTAGATTCAGACATTTGCAGGAGTACCACCAATGTTGTAGTATTTTGACATGGAACGAAATAGTCATTCAATTGGCAATGCCTAATTTGCCTCGATTTTTTGCATTTCTCTAACAATCCTCACAACATTTTGTTCTTTTTCATTTAACGACCCAATGTTTTGTTGTGAGTCAAGTTTTTGAATAATGTCTTTGGCTTCTTTGGAAAGCCTCACTGGTTGTGTAGCCTTTTGAAGTCTAATCAATTGTTCTTTATTGAGTTCTTCGTCTCTGCTTTTTAATTTGGTCATTTGCACTTTGTGGGAGTCCATCCACTGATTGAATTGAACAATTTCCAATCTGAGATCCTCGATTTCACCTTCCTGAAGACAGGCAACAAACAAGTGCGAACGGCAAGCAAAAAATTTTCGTTTCGAAAAGAGTCTCCGAGTTTAACAAAGTCATCAAATGTGTTAATGCCAATGGTTGTTTCATTTGTTGCTCCGTTGAGCGCTATTTGGCTTGGCTTGAGTTTTTTTGGTTGGAAGAGTGAATCGAACTGAGAGTGCTTGTAATAAACTATTAAGCAATCCCAGACAAATATCACGAAATTGAACTCTTTCTGTGGATTTGACTTTGTTGATGTAAAGCATGTTAAAGAGTTTTTCTTCTGAGCGTTGATAGATGTCATTTTTAAGTTCGATTAAATTCTCGATGACTTCAAGCACACGTTGATAGGCAACAGCAAAGGAGAGGCACGATTTTTGGAGCCAATCACTGAGAACTTTTACCCGACTTGTAATGAAATCAACAAAGAACAGAAGTGCTACAAATTTGTCGTCGTCCAAAGTCGCAGTTTTGATAAGCCGTCTCGAGACGTCAATGCCATCATCTTCGAAGTTGTCGTTTTCGTTATCATTTTTGTTTTGTTGTTTGGCACTGCTCTCCCTTCTTTTCGGTTTAGGCATTTCGATTTTCCAGTTTTTTTGGTTCCTTGTAAAATCTTGAAGTTCGTTGAGATTGTCAAATACCATATTAAATATTGTCGCTATATATAGAAACCGAGTGTTGCTATATTGAGGAATTGACAAGGCTTCTTTTTCAATTCCTTTTTCTTTACAATAAGATTCCCAATTCATCCTCACGTTGGCTCCCGTTAATTTGTATAAAAATTTCTTCACAATACACCCATAAAACGTCGTTCCCATTTTTTCAATTGCTTTTCTCAATCGATGATTGAAACAATAATTTGGTTCGAATCCATTAACATCAATACCAATTGATTTCATAAATTCAATGAACTTTCCCGCAAGACCACCTTCATCAAAGATCATTGTCGAAGCACCATCGAAGGTGAAGTTGACACACAAATTCAATTTTAATCCAAACAATCCCGCAACTGACTTTACCCAATCACACCAAGCATCTGCAGTTGTTTTTCCGATATATTTTTCTATCTTCAATTTTTTCTCAACAACAACCATTTTATCGGTTAAAATTCTTATGAACAACGAAAAATGTTCGTTTGGTCCATATCTGGCACTGTCTGCCATCAAACCATAATAATGACAATTTCTTAACAATTCGAGCGTCTGTTCTGTGTTAACTTCAGAAATGAGGTCAATTCTTCTTTTTATTGTTGTCGGACTTAAATTGAAATGATATTTGTTTACATCGACTCCACACAACTTTATGCCAAAATTGAAAAATTTTAAGACATTTCCATTTGCGAAATTGAAAAAGCGGATGCTCCAGATATGAAGGCAATAAACAACAAAATAAATTCTCCGATTTCGTTGTGACAATTGAGCCTGGAGTTTTCAGCCTTTTCCTTTCTAATAAATTCGGTAACATTGTCTGTTATCATACCAATGTTGAACCCCGACCCATCATTAAAAAGTGGGATCAATGTTCTGATGAGAGCAAGTTGGTGCAACTCTTTTTTTTGTTTTTGTTGGTTGTGACGGTTGTGACGGTGATATGATCACATTTGGATCATCATCATCCACTTCTTCGTTGACACGTTCTTCAATGGAATCCCCGTCTTCTTCGTTGGATGATCTCATTGGATGATTCGTTTCGGGTATGTTGGAAATTAAAAAGATGTTTATCAGTTCGTTTTCAATTCGTTTTGTTTGTGAATCGATATTTAATGTCTGAAAATCAATTAAATTTTCATTCAAAATGAACTTGTTGCAAAATATCACGTGATTTGTTTTTGTGGAATTCATCAACGAAATGAGTGTGAGACTATTAAGTATATCAAAATTTTGTGAAGCAAACAACCTCAACCTTTTTTGTTTGTTTTTATCACTGTTCAGTTCTTTGATAGACAACTTAAGGTTCCCTTCATGTGAAGTAAGCCAGTGTTCATATGCGTTGTTTTTACCTTCAAATTTTTTACAGCGAACACAATAATACCAATTTTTAACTTCTTCATAATTATAATTATCAATGAAAGGAGCCAACATCATAGTTTTACAAAACTTGTCGATGATCTTCTCTTTGCTAGATTTTGTGGTCATTGTATGTTTTTTGAGTTGAAATTTCTTTTTTAAAGATTTGAAATGTATAACCATACTTACAAGTAAAGTAACTATAAAAATATAGGTCTATATTATATAATTTTTATTAATTATTTATTTATATAAATAATTATTTAAAATAACAAAAAATGTATTATGTTTTTGAAAGTTTTTATTCGCAAATTAAACCAAATCAGCAATCTATTTATTCTCTTTTAACTTTTAATTTATAAAAAAACATTTTCTATTTGATTAATTATTTTTACCAAATATGCGATGCTTTTAATTGGGATAAAATCCCGTTATTATCCATTTACCATATTTATTAGTTTTTTGGTTTTTATATGGTTAAATTGGCAAAAAGTTGAGTTTGTTAACCATAATCCATTCTTTGGTCAAAAAGCTTTTTTCACTTCCTGAAAAAAACAAGGGTTTTAAAAAAGTTATACGAAAATATAAATATCCGCCAAAAACTCATTTTATTTAAAAAAACGATGCAGTTTTGGGAAAGTAAAATATTTCAACAGGCTTTTGGCTAACCATGTATAAAGTTTCCTTGTTAAAGTAAAATCCTTAATAATCGGGATTTTGGAGGATATGTTGGTTTATTTTAAAAAAGAGAAACCAAGTATTAATAGACACACTGTTTTTTAAATTAAATTGTAAAAACTATAAAATATGAAACTTCTAAATAATCATATAGAGTTGTCTCATTTGTTAATGCCCAGCCGAGCCAAGGTAAAGTTTGTTTTTTATATTGATTTATCTTCCTTTGTTGAATACTTTTAATACTCATCAATCGTTTACTGGATGTCTAACATTCCAATAATTTATTTATTATTTACTTTATTTTCATTTATTGCGTGAGTCACTTTTAATGCTGAACGAAAAGTGACTCATCAAATCAACCGAGTGAATGGAGAAGACTACAATGGCTTTTTTGAAAAAATGAATGAACGATTTAATTGAATGGTTGTGTTGAAGTTAAACATGTTTAAACAAAAGGATAATAATTTATAATAATTTATAATAAATAATAATAAATAATAATAAATAATAATAAACTTATGATTTTAGCTCACATTAAGTTGTTGTTCATTCAAACTTTATACAACACATTCATTTTTTTCATCCCAAAAAATAGCCGTTTTTTAGCCAAAATAATAAGAAAATTACACATTTATTTATATAATTGCCCGTTTTATTGTATAAAATCCGCTTAATATTCAATAGCTAAAATTAGTCTGGTCCCCGGTTTTTCAGGTGGTCCCCATTAATTCCGCTATTTGTAAATAATATTTTAAAACTGATTAAAATTGTATTTTATCATTTTATATTACAAATATACATAAAAGTTGTTTATGAACAAAAAATGGTCATGATTTATTCATTTAGATTTCGCAATTGTGTAAAATACCCACCTGAAGTGCAATGTTCAATAAAGTCCTCTTTGTAATAATATGGATTTTCAACGCTAAGTGGGTTATCAAATTCCGAGTAACAACAACACACGCGTTTCAAACATCCGCACCAATCTGGGCACAACAGTGGACACATGTTTTCCTTTTTATAAGCCCAACAATTGATAAACCGGTCAGATAAATAAAGCAAATGCTAATTATAGAAGACACGAACGCTTTCATGTAATTCATTTTTTCATTGTTTTCATCAAATTTTATTTTGTAGCACAGAACTGCTGTATTCCAAAATAGTGCGATGGGGACGATCGCACTAACAACTTGAGATGTTTTTGTCTTCAAATTTTTTGTTAAAACAATTGTCAACTCTGCTCTGGTTTTCACTTGTCATAACATAATAAGCGTACATACAAAAAAGTAATATCGCGTTAATAATATGGTATAACAGAAAACTGGCGAATAACACACATATGATAATTTTTCCAGAACTATAATTAAATAAATTTGAATCTATCAATTTGACAAATAGAAGTGATAGTAGTGTGATCATCACTGGGCACAAAAAGATTGCCTTTAAAATATCGCCAAAAGCAAAGTAATGATTATATACTACAAAGTTGATCTTTTTTGGATTAACAAGACACTTAAAATTGATGGTAAACCCACATGATACCATACAGAGGGTGTAATGTGCTATTATTGGAAGCAAAACATACCCAAAACTGATTTTTCCAAACGAAAAAATGATAAATAAAATTGAACTCATGAACACAAAAATTGGAAGGAAAAATGTCGAGTTAATACGTGGGAAATTGGATACAAATGCACTAAACATCCAGTAAAACGGTATTGGAAGGTCTTGAATAGCAAAAGTATCAATTATGAATATCTGTGTATAAAATAGTGTTATTGTAAGCCAGTAAGTTCCAATTAGAAAATCAAGGAAAAATGGAACTATTAATAGAGAAACATAGCCAGGATTGACTTTAATTGTTTTATCAAGAGAAAGGGGGTATAAAATTAAAAATAATATCAAACATCCAAATGTGAAAATTGAGACAAAGTGATTTGTAAAAAGAAAAATAAACACAACAGAGAGTAGAGATTTAAATCTGAAGTTCCAAGTGTCGATTTTATATAAATTACGAGTGTTGGAATTTGTTTTACAATTACTTTCTTTTTGCATTTGAGTGTAATACTCACTTTTTGATGAACATTTGAATTTTGATATATTTGAATAAATTTCATCGTCATCAACTAATTTCGATAACTCGGAACACGTTTCTGTTATACGGAGGGATGTTTGAATGTCACACTTCATACATATCTTTTTCATAACATTTATTGAAAGTTTGGGGACTGACATCAATTACTTGTTTTTAAATGATATATAAGGTGTTGTTTTTATATAAAGACTGATCAATTATTATTTTCATATAATGTTCATATCCGTCATATTGGTTAGTTTCTAATGATATTTAAGAAATTTCAAATCAAAAAGTGATGATTAAAATAAAAAATCGACAAAAGTTTTTTTATTAGTTATATAAATAATTATACTATTAAAGTTCACATCAATAAAAATACAATTTTTTATTTAATATTAATTAGTATATACAGGCAAAGTCACTGTTTGTAGGTTTTGCTAAGAATTACAGTAGGGAAAATGAACCTTAGCCCAGGAAAAATACTTTAGCCCAAAGAAATTCTTATATTTTTCTTTAAAAACACGGGTTTTTACTAAAAAAACAAATATTTTATAAAATTGACTTTTATTTGGGTATAGTTTATTATTTTTATATAACAATAGAAATAAATTGGTTTTTCTTTGGGCTAAGGTTAATTTCCCGGGCGAAGGTTTAATGGCCCAACTGTAGGAATAATATTCTTTGATTTATTTTGATTATCAAAAATAAATAAAAATAACCATAGAGTTTGTTGTAAAACGTTGTACTATTTGCCAACGTTGTCCTTTTTATCAATTTATACACAAATATTTGTTTAAAACCCCGGGAATTAGGTAAAAATTGAAAATATTGAAAAAAATTGGAAAAAAACTGAAACGACATTTATTTTATATTTCGAATATAATCCTGATAATTTCCAATTTTCATTGACCAAAAAGCCCAGGACAACGTTATCTGACTAACTCTATTCTTAATATTTAGTCTTTTAACAAAGTCTGCTTAAAAAATGTTGTCCGCTTGACAAAATAAATACACAAGATAAGCCTTAAAAAAAAGGAATTAGAAAAAAGTTGGGAAACTAAATAGAATCAAAAATAGTGTTTTTGGAGCTTTTTTAACAGTTTCCCGTAATATTACAGTTTTAATGGTCTAAAAATTTGCTATTACCATTTTAAAACTGAATTATTATAATTTCAGATATGAGACTAAAGTTTCGACGAATACTAAGGTTTCGTTTTATTATTTGAATACTATTTGAATAATAATGAACAAGGTTTTTAATTATTTTCAAAAAAACGTTTAAATACAATTATTATATTTAATTTATACAATGGTATAAAAATTATTAATTATT